CACTCAACTAAGGGTCTTTATGGGCTACATTGAAAATTCTACATAGGGAAGACCAAGTCTTAACAGTTCCTACCTACTATTTCCTTCATTAAATTCCAATTTTACCTTTTGATTTACTCAACAAAATAGGACTACTATGTAATGAGGATGAGAACATAACACTGAAGCGAGACAGACACAGTCCTTGTCCTCATGGAGATGATGGTATCCTTTTAACATTAATCTTTAAATGAAACAAAGGTGAATTATTTTTAGTGATAAAAAAGATACAATTCACAAAGAAGGTAGACATCATAATCCATGATGGTATTGTTTATTACAAGGATTTTATAGTGCTTGGCACAAATTGCTCGATAAAGTTGGGCTGTTACAACTCCCTGAACAAAAAGGGGAGCAAGTGATTTTCCCATTGATGATGTGAAGGAAGTTTGGTAGTTTCCATAGGATTAGGACCATGGAGTGTCTAGAGACAAAATTACTGAGAGATGGCCAAGGCCATCTCCAAATATGATGGCAGAGCAAAGCAAGGTAGCTAGAGAGAAGTAAGTTGTCAGGTTGCTCAAAGGAAGCGAGTGTTCCATGAGAACTAAACTTCCTTCACAAGAGTCGGACAAGACAATCCTACGGGAAGGATGGAGTAGCTGATGCTGATCTTGGTTTTGAGGGCATGCCATTATGGGACAAAAGTGACCACACTGGCCTCTGATCTGCCAACTGTTAGCAGGCAGTGCTAATGCCTGTGATGACAGGCAGATGTGCCTTACCAGAACTTTATGCTACTTCTTTTCATGTGGATTCTTTTTGTGGGCATTTATTGGCAGTTTTCAAGGATGCTGGATGACGCTAAAATCCATCTTGAAATTAGGGGTGCCACCACCAGAAGCATCCTTTTTGGCCTTGCCATATGTATCACTTGAGGATGCCCATCCACCCTGCGACAAAGACCCCACTCTCCTCTCAATTTCAACAGTCAAATGCTGATCCTTTAAAGGCCATGGATACTAGGTATTTTTCACCCTTTCTTTGGTGTTTGCCTTTCAGTAGTTAGAAAGCCTTGACCCCACAAAGAGGCCTAGTGGGAAGGGCCTTAGCCACTTGGGGGTGGTAGTTGGCTGCAGGGCGAAAGAGCCAATGAGGCTGAGAGTATTGTTTAGGCTGGACTTGGCAGCTCTCCAGTTATGAAAGAAGGTTAAGGTCATTTGGGGGGTGGGGAGGGAGGAGCCTGGGAAAAGAACTACTGGCCACACCCCTGAGTTCTCCACTGGCTAGGTTCTATTTACTTCTGCAAAGCAAATTACTCACAGCTCAGTGGCCACCAGTTCTTTCTGCATGTGGTAACTCCAGTCAGAAACTGGAGACCAGGCTAGGCTCCTCCTGCATTGCAGGAGAGCAGACAAAAGGAACCCAGGAAACCAAACTCCTAGGTAATGTTCCACACACAGCCCAGAAATGCACTTTCTTGACTAGAAACTGGAGTTTCAGAGGCCCAGAGCAAAGATATCCATTAGTAGTATTACTTGCCAAAATATAGATATGAAAAGTTTGCCATTTAGTTTTTTTCCCCGAGAGTTCTAGGAAGGCAGCTTAATTGACAAACATTAGCCAGTTGTCTCTATTTCCCGTCTCTCAGTGGAGAAATATAGAAATTATTCATTCCTGTCCCTGACCCAAATATTAACAACTACACTTAGTTTGACAAACACTTGATTGAAATCAATGGAACAATTTTACCTCATGCTAAACACAACAAAAACCAAATCTTGCCTTCTGTGCTCCGCAACTAGATCCAGTTACTCCTGGTTGTCCTCCAACCCAGGAAGGAGGTGGAGGGTGTATTAAGAACATGGGACTTGGAGTCATGGGCCTTTGTGTGTGAGCTCAAAGAAGCTCCTTTTCTCAACTGTAAAATGGGAGCCAGACTACTCACCTCACAGGCACAGAACTGTTGGGGAATTATTTGCCCTACTATGTCTGGTACACAAGTAGGTACTCAATAGAAAGCTGTTGTTTCAAGTTTCACTTTAAATGTCCATGATAATAGCATTTTCTGATACTGCTTTTGGTTTCTCCATTGTGTCCTTAAGGAAGTCAATCAAGAGAGAAGCTATATATTGCAACATTAACCTTTTAAAATAACTGTGTCTGGCCAACATCTACCATTTCATTCAACTACTTAGTAAGTGGCTACAATGTGCCAGGCTGTTCTGTAGGACAGGAATATAGCAAGGAACCAAACTCCCTACCCTCAGAGAACTTACATTAATTACAGTGGAAGACAATAGGTAAGTACAATATACACTAAGTCTGATGGTAACAAGTGCTATAAAGAAAAATCCAGCAGAGAAGGGAAATGAGGCAGGGGAACAGGTTGCTTTTCTTTGGGTCATATGGCGTGGCATGTGGAACTTCCCGCAGCGATGGAAACCCATACCCCCTTGCAGTGGAAGCAGAGTCTTAACCACTGGAACACCAGGGAAGTCCCGAATTATTATTTTAAGTAAGATAGGCAGGGAAAGACTGAGACGATATTTGAGCAAAGACTCAAAAAAGACAAGGACTTTAGCTATGCAGTTATCTGGCAAAACTGTTTCTAGACAGAGGGAACAGTAAGTGCAAAGGTCCCAAGGTGGAAACGGCTCTGTATGGTGGAATGTGAATGGGGAAGAGAGAAGAGGAAACCAAAAGGTAACTGCAAGATAGATATCTGAGGGCCACGTAGGTCATTATAAGGATCTGGACTTTTATTCAGAGTAAGGCTGAAGCATTGAAGGATTTTGATCTTAGATTCTTAGATCTTAGATTTTAATGGGAGCATTTGGCTGCTATGTTGAGAATAGGTTCAAACACCAGGCAAAACAGAGGCAGGGAGGCCAGTTTGGAGGATATTTTAAAAGTTTAAGAAAGACATGATGGTTTCTTGAACTACAGAGATAGCAGCTGGACTGAGGATTATTTTTTGAAGGGTACCAACAGCCTGGACGTGGACATGAAAGGAGTCAAGGATGTCTTTGGCCAAGCGATGGAGTTGCCATTTCCTGAGGCTTCTAGGGGAAGACAGGGCTTTTTAGGCATGTTCAGACTGAATTTCCAAGCAGAGATGTCAAGAAGACAGCTGAATACTTTAATCTGGAATCAGGGGAGAGAGCTGGTCTGGGGAAATATTTCTAAAAAAAAAACAAAAACAAAACAGAGATACTCTCTCTGCCAACTATTTCCAAAAGGTTTCTTTTTCTGGAGTATCATTCCTTTCTTTAGCTACTTAAACCCACTTTATTTCAAGAGGCTAATAAGATTTTGGGGTTTCTCGGTGGTTCAGTGGTAAAGAATCCACCTGCCAATGCAGGAGACACAGGTTTGATTCCCCAGGTCGGGAAGATCCACTGGAAAAGGAAATGGCAACCCACTCCAGTATTCTTGCCTGGGAAATCCCGTGGACAGAGCAGCCTAGTGGGCTACAGAGCTTTCTTAAATTCAGACTTACACTGTGGAAGGTCAAGTGGAATTTGGTACAGAAATGACAGGGGCCAGGATGTCACCATTTAGGGAGAGAGCAGACATACCATGGGAGATTTGCAAGAACAAGACGAGTTCCCCCAAGCCCCAAGAGGTCAAGATTTTAAACAGTTTGAAAATAAAAAGCCTCACAAACGTCTTACCAAGATTTAATGTACATTTATTCTTAACACGTGGAACATATAGTATAAAGATTTCATACTGAATAAATGATATTCATTAAGCCAAAAAAGGAAAAAAGGAGGAATTTACATCAAGTTTTAGCTACATTGTTTGAAATACAAATATGCAGATTTTATCACTGAAAAAATCTCAATTGTGTTTCTTCATCAGGAACTTCAACTGAACCTAGAACTTTTTCACACCTCGATTAGAAAGAAAACAAAAACAAAAACAAAAACCCAGAAAAAATAAACTATAAGTTGATTGGCTGCTGAGACAGCAAGGACTTTTTACAGAGACCTGTACAGCATCGCACCAAGAGGGGCGATGTCTGGCAAGAGATTAAATAGCTGTGTCTCGCTTTGTGCAGGTCACCAACTCGTTAACTCGTCATACTATAAAGGGGTACCTGGGAGGGGGACCAAACTGTGGGGATCCAAGGGTATGTGCAATGTACAACATCATATATATACACACGTGGCAGCGCAGCCGCTGCAGCTAAAGGTTAAAACCAGTTCTAAGAGGTGATCTCAGGGTTATTCATACAATCAAGGAGGAGAGAAAGAGGTCAGGGTGTTGTAGGTTCACACATGATACTTTGGGGGAAAAGCCTTTTTTTTTTTTCTCCTCAACGTTTAACTAAAAACATTTTTAAAAACTACAGCTTGCTGCTGACCCAGCGTTTCTCTTGTTTCCATGTGAGACGTTATTATTACAGTATGTTTACAGTATCAGGTGTACAGTACAGTACATGAAGGGGTCTACACTCTACTGCACAGGCCTCTCCAGCGGACAGGGTCTGTCCACAACTGCGAACTTCTCGGTTCCTGCAAGATTGTGAATGTACAACGATAAACCACACACAGTTCAGCAGTCACCTTTTTTGTCCTTCAGGGGTTTTTTTTGTACTTTTTTTCCTTTTTTTTTTTTTAACCATTAAAAACAGTTATGAAATGCGGCATCCCCTTGATGCAAGGACCGGGAAAGCCATTTTATTTTATTTTTTTCCCCAAACTCACTGTAAACGACAGTAACTTTGGTTAAAATAAAAAAAGTCTTCTATGTAGGCAGAGCTTTGTCTTTTCAAATAGGGCAGGGTCCTGAGGGGAGTAAAGTGAGGACAGGGAATAGAAAGGTGAGGGTGAAGAAGGGGCCAGAAGGGGGAGGAAAGAGGAAATAGGAGAGACTTCTTTTCCCGGGGAGAAGCTGGACAGCACAGGGTAAACTGGATTCTGAGGTGGTTTTGCATAAATAAAGGGCAACAGTCAGTTTCTAAGTTCTCCACACACGCACACACACACGGGGAGGGAGGTGTCCCACGGCTGTCATGACTGGCCAATCAAAAACAGTACATCACAAATGACTTGTGAAACCAATGAGTTCATCAACGGTGATACCGAGATGTCCAACAGCCGTGACTCATACAGCGTGAACTCCGAGTGGTTCTCGTCCACCTTGGCCAGGGCCAGCAGCGCACGGGCAGCCCGTCGCATCATGTCCACACTAGTTGGCTCAAAGGGCGGGTTCTGCATGTGGAGCAGGCTGGCCTGGCTCTGCTGGAACTGTGTGGCAGCAAGGCTGTCCTCCAGGAAGCCCAGGAGGTTGCCGATGCTGCCCTTCTGCACTGCAATGGCACGGGCTGCCAGGCTGTCGCCCTGTGCCAGGTTGGCCAGCAGTACTACAGCCATCTCCCGGCACACGGGGTTCTTTCGGTCACTGAGGAAGCGCACCATGGTGCTATACAACTTCTCCAGGCGGCTGAAGGGGGGCGTGGCCAGGATCAGGTCCACATTGTTGTCCTGGATGCTGAGTTTGCTGAGGGTTTCCAAGACCAGTCTCTGGGGGGAGAGGACGGCGTTGGGGCCCAGGGTGGAGAAGGGGTCCTGGGCTTCAGCTGAAGGGCAGACTGCCCAGTGCAGGAGTCCGTCCAGGACAGGCAGGCAAATGCTCTCGGGGTACGGGGAGAGGTCCAACTGCCCCGAGATGTTGGCAAGCGTGACCAAGGTGTTTTCCCGAAGCATCTCCAAGCAGTCCCACCACCACTCCACTTTGTTGCAGCTCACCCCTTGGTCCTGCTCCTCCTCCTTCTCATAAGTTAGTGGTGCCTGCTTCCGTTCTGGGTGCTTGTGGTGCAGAAGGATCAGCTTGCCCAGGATCAGCAGCAGCCCCGGGTGTTTGGACATCTCAAAGTCGTTGCCTGGCACAAACGACAAGCTTCGGATGGTGTTGGAGACACAGATGCAGCGTTTGGCAAGGGAATCCTGCCAGTCCAGAAGGGTACACAGTGGGGTCTCATCTTTACTGTGGGGTTCATCCTCTAGGATCTTGATGTTCCGATGGCTCTGCGCTGGGCTGATGCCGAATGGAAACTTGCTGCTTTCCTTGGTGGCCTCCACACTCTTAGCTCCCTCCTCCGTCAGTGTGCTAGACCTCGTGGACAACATGTCATCCATAGTGGCCGTGATGCGTTTTTCTGGGGGGCCATCAGGCGGGGGGCCCTCTTGCTCTGTTGTCCCTGGTGTGCCCTCTACCGCTGTGACATACTTCCGAGGGACTGGTGGGCAGGGCACATGAGGCCGGGAAGGCAGCAGCTCTGTCTTGCTCTCAAAGTGGGTCTGGATATGCTCAGTGGTGTCGCCCCCACCAATCCGCCAGTGCAGCAGGCCACTGTCAAACTCCTGCACGCGCCCAAGCTTATCTGAGCAGTCCACCACAAACGGGTCATTCTTCTGCACGATCTTTACTGGAAGCTTGTCAAACTTACTAATCAGTTTCTCCTCACTATTCTCTGAGGCTGCTTTGTCCTTGCCCGAAAAGGCCATCTCCTCATCATTTTCAATTACTTCCTCCTCTTCTTCCTCCTCTAGTTTGGGATCTAGAAGGTCTTCCTCCTCCTCCCCCTCCACAGGGGCTGGACTAGACGCTTTGCTGAATCTCCCAGGGTCCAATAGCGTTCTCTGTCCTGGGTCACCCACCTCATACTCCTTTAAAATGCCAAAAATCTCTATCAGGCAACGTCGGAAATATTCCACAAGGAGTTCGAGCAGCCCTGGGAGCTAAAAGAGAAAGAACAGGAACTAAATTAAGGGAGAAAAGTGGCTAAGAAGAGAATCCTTGATTTGAGAGGCCTGCCAAGGTCTTCTACCTAACCTCCCTTCTTCCCTTCCAGATAACACATCTGTATCACTGGGAGAGTCGGGGTTCTCCTTTCCCAAAGGCGGTTCACAAAGCAAGTTGTTTAAATTCCCCTCTGCCTAGCACAAAGTTCTTCCTTTAGCCCAGTCTTCACAGAAGCCTGCCTCTGCAGACGGACATGCTGACCAGCAAATCTGCACCTACTAGGGCCACCCACTGCTCCACCTCACCTTTCTCGACCGATTTCTGCTTTTCTTCGCCAGGCTCAGTTTCCTACCCGTTGGTCACTGCCACTGTCCCTCTGGGAGGACACTCTCCACACTCCACTGAAGTGGAGCCCAAGGCTGGGCATGCTGGGATGGTGCCTTCCAGCACAAGGCAGGCTGGACAGGTGTTCATCTACTCTGTTCCAGCACAAGGCAGGCTGGACAGGTGTTCATCTACTCTGTTCCCCAAGCTCCCTAACTTTCCAGGAGGCTGGACCTCTGTGCATCACATAACACAGTAAATGGGATGAGGCTTATGCTCTCTAAACACTGCTCCCAAGCCAGTACAACTTTACAGCTTAGATCCTGTAGAGACTATTTCCTACGCCTAGCAGAAAACATTAATCCAGTCAGATTAATCTCTGGCTGAAGAGTATAACCAAAAGGGAAAAATAGGGCTTTAGACTTAAAGAAGGATCCAGGTTTGAATTCTGGCTTTTCCAGGAACTATCTGTGTGATTTAATATTCTGAGCTGTAGCTTTCCTATCTTTCCACTGAAAATGATGCAAACTCCTAAATTTCATACAGTTGTTCTGACGTCTAAATGGAATATGTCAAGTGCCTGGCTTATGGAAATTGCTCAATCAATATTTGTTCCTTTCTTTCTCATGGGAAGCAGGCTTTGGATTCAGAAAGACTGCTAACAGCTGTGTGAACCTGGGCAAAAATAAGACTCTGAGCCTATTTACTCATCTCTAAGCGGCCACATCTGCTCAGATGGCTACAGGGAGGATGACACAAAAGGAAACACAAAGGACCTCGCACAAAGTGAGGGCGCGATAAACGCAACTATCAGTAACACTGCCCTGCTAGTCAATTCTTTGATGGATGGGCTGGGAGGTACCGAGGATGATCAAAAGAAAGAGTAGGGTGGTGCAGAAGAAACTCTTCCTAGCTGAGAAAACTCCAGCTACATGTCTGTGGAGAGAAGGTTTGGAATTTGGAAAGCCATCTCTGTGTTAACCTCCCCTGCTGCCCATAATGTACACTTCTTCACACTTTCCATTCTACATCTTAGGAAAAATGGTTGTCAATAAAGACTTCAACTATTCAGAGTGGGTGAAGAAAGTGAAAATAAAGAAACGGCTCTGCTCACAGGCAGAGACCACAGGTTCATGGATAGAGACCCCAGGTTCTTTTTGGTCTAGAAAATATGGTGTCCTCATTGACATCAGCAGAATCTGCCCTTCTTACCAATACCAAGAATCTTCTCCCAAATTCCCTTTGAAGTCAGTCCTGATTGACTAACACGAATTATCAGGCCTATAGCCAGTGGCAAAGTATCGGCATAGAAAATATCAAAAGAACAAGTGAAATAAAGGAGACCATGTGGGCCAGGGAGGGTGTAATTCCCTGGTCACTTAGCACCATCTACTTTAAGAAGATCCCAGGCCCTCCCGGTCTTCCCCCAGCACCTGGACTCACCTGACTGAGGTTGAAAGTCATGATGCTGTTGTCATCGTACAGCAGGATGTTAATGGTGTCTAATGCCCACGTGCTCTCTGCCAGCAGCCCAGACTTGAGGGACATCATTACCCGCCATGCCTCCGGGGTTCCTGAAATAAACCTCCACGTCGTCCATCCACCATGCCCAGGTTGGCAGGAGGCCCCCCACCCCAGAGCTGGCTCATTAGTCAGGCTACTCTGAAGAGAACACATGGTGAGAGGCACTTCCCATCTAGGAGAGGACACACATCTGCCCCTCATGGCTTCTAGGCTCGCTTAGGACATCACTGCATGGCAATTCCTTTAGTAAAGCCTGACATCGGCTGATTTCTTCCTTACTCAAAGTTCTTTGGCTCTATTTTAGTCAACACTGGATCAGATTTTAACTCATCCAGAACATCAGGATGGAGAGAGACCACTGAACCAAACGTAAAGAGGCAGATAAGCAACCCAATCAAGGAGGTCTCCTTACCAATGTCTTTCATTGTGAGCCGCCGCCTCTGCTTCAACACAGGCTGCGTGGCTTCAACAGAGCCAGGTGGGAAGGTGATGTCCCGCCGAATCATAGGGGGCTGCACGGGAGCAGGTGCTATGTGCGAGGCGGGTACTGGGGGCCCTGCCTTCTGCATCTTCATCCCAGAGTGCAGGAACGGAGACTTGCTCGGAGAGGTGCGGTTCTCCATTGGCCGGGGCAGGGGAGCGGGGCTGGATACCTGAGGAATGTGATTCTGCATGCTTGGTGGGGGCTGGTAGTTGGCTGGAGGGGGCCTTGTCATAGGGGGCACGGGGGCAGAAGGACCGTAGGGGGGCTGGCGTGTGCCATGGGAAGGCCACGGGCCTTCATGGTTGGCCCTCTGATCCGTGTGCAGCATTTCATCTGTTCGGTTCACACCATGATAGGCGGGGCCTTGCGGGGCCGAGCCCGTACTCTGCCTGTTGGCGTAGTTGTAGGTCATGTCATTGCGCCCCTGCCACATGGTGCCTTGCTGGGCAACCTCAGCCGATGCCTGTATGGGGCCGCCCATCATCTGTGGTGGCATGTTCTGCTGGGTATTGGAGCCAGGGGGTGCTGAGACACGGTCCCGGCCAAACTGGAATGGAAACTGGTTCTGGGGGCCGCCTGCTGGTCGTCGCTCAGTAGCAGCGGCGGCAGTGGCAGGATAGGCGTTGCCGTACTGGTTGTACACGTCCTGCTGAGGGGGAGGCTGAGCAGCTTGCTGCTGGTTGGCAGGCGGGGGCTGGGCGGGGGGCAGCTGCTGCTGCTGGGGCTGCCCCTGCCCCGCGCTGTACGGCACGCTGTACATCTCCCCTTCGTGCCGCTTGGCAGGAGGGCCATAGGTGCCATCCATCGGCCGCTTGTAATTCTAAGACGGGACAGAAGCAGAGAGAAAGTTAACACTCTGCACTCAGGGACGCAAGACCACAGCTGCCAAGATGCAACACCAGACACGTGCTGGGCTTACTTCTGACCCTCTAGAAGAGAGGACACAGACTCCACGGGAACAAAGGAGCCACCTTTACGAGTTATCTTTTGAAGCTCCTTCTGAAAGCAAGAATCATTCTCTATTCCCTCTGGCTCTCCCTTGCTCTAAGCAGAAAAATGTAGAAAGGTTCAAAAATCAAAATACAAAATACCCTAACCCTCGTGGAGCACTGGAGATGGGCCTAGACCCCAAACAGGGAAGAAGAGACTGAAGGCTTGGCTCTTCACACAAAACTGGCTGTCGGGGTGGGAGAAGAACGCTAAGGAATCTGAAGGGACTTCTCAACTCGGCCTGCTAACTGGCTCTCGGGGGGAACCTGTGGATCAGCCCACCCACTGCCCTCCTCACCTGCTGCTGCTGCTGATACATTGTGGTCTGCTGGCTGGGGAAGGGGCTGCCGGAAGGGGTGCCTTGAGCGGAGAACTGATTGCCATAGGAATCATGTCTGTGGGCAGGAGAGAAGCGGACGATCAGGGTAGGAGTGGGGAAGCCTGAGTCATAGCAGCGCGGCGACCAGGCTTTACTTACCGTTGCTGCTGCTGCTGCTGCTGCGGCGGGTAACGGCTGGGAGAATACATCCCCGAGTCTGGGTTGGAAGGCATGAGATTCGGCTGTGGGGCCCCAGTGCCCATGTTTCCCTCGGGTCCTAAGCCAGGCTCCGTCCTAAACAAAATCGGAAGAGCAGGTTGGTCCATGATAGCTGTGGGGTGTTGGGGTGGGACAGGGTGGGGGCGGGGGGACGTGCTTACCTCACTCTGTCATAAGGACCTCCATAGGGATAGTGCTGTCGCGGTCCCATTGCCACATTTCCCAGCCCAGGGCCGGCAGCTCGACTGTAGGGGTCCCCCATCCCGCCGTTGGGGCCCTGACCTGAGGACATGAAGGGATCGCTCCCCGGAGCTGAGAGCAAAAGGGGAGGCAGTGAGTAAACTGGTGGGTTAGCAGACCGGGCAACCTCTACCTCGCCTGCCCCAAAGACCCAGACCCGCTTCAGAGTTCAGGTCTGTTCCAACTGTTTTCCTGACCGGTTTGAAATAGAGATCTAGAAAGGCCCCAACCGGCAAAGAACACGTACTTGTTAAGGATGATGCGTGAGCCCAGGGAGAAGATGACAAGAAAGGAGGATGAAGGGGATGGCGTGACGAGCAACAGGAACCTTAAACTACTCAAATGCCCCCATGACCTGGCCCTGCCCCTGCCCTCAACGACAGAAGGCCAACAGCAGTCGGTCACCTTTCCTCATGCTGCCGTAAGGATCCTTATTTGGCTCGTAGGACATGCGCCCCATCATGTCGGAGGTATTCATACTGGGCTGGTACCCAGGGTTTGGAGTCATGGAATTCCGCTTCTGGAATGTGGGGTCACTTCCATCAGGAAAGGCATCCTGGATCCCGACCGAATTGCTCCTACTCAAGAGTGAAGGGAGCCAGTTAGACCCTAAATAAAGCAATTCCTCCAATAATGCAAGGCACTTGGGAGTCACTGGCTGGACAGAGCAGGAATACACCCTGGGCTACACAGGAGCTCATGTACTCTGTCCAGGATCCCCCAGGCCGCCTGGCCCTGCTCCTGGCCTTACCTCATGCCTGGCAAGGGGGGGATCTGGCTGTGTGGTGTGGATGCTGGAGTTGGTGGCTTCAGGTCTCCTCCTTCTGCCATGGAGCTGCTGGTTGACTGAGGTGTCTGTGGCCCCTGCATCGACCCTGATCCTGCTGTGGACAGTGATACAGGATGAGCAGGAAAACTCTCACAGAAACACAAATGCCCTAGGACACTAAAAAGGTTAGAACTAGGGTTCTTTAAATCACCCTTCTCAGCAGGAGATCTCCAAGGCCAATAATAAAGAAGGGAATTTGAGGGCTCCATCGCTTCTCACTGCTTTTCAGGTTTGGAAACCATGAGCATGCTGGTGATGACGTGAGTCTGTCAAGATTCCCAACTCCTTTTCTTTACTTCCCCAAGGACCCTGTCTAACCTATCATACCTTGTAATGCTGGTACACAAGCTCCCAGTAAGAGGTCCTGGAAAGCTGGGTTGCGAGGTTCCCTCTTAGCCCAAACCTGCAGAGCACTGTGGGAACCTAGGAACTCCTATTCTCAAACATCTAACCCAATGTCACCAGCAGTTTGAAAGATCCCTGAAGCTGATGAGCACGCAAGTACCAGTAATTAACGCTTCCATTAGTTACCATTCTCAGCAGCAGATACCCTGCGGGCTTGGGCCTCCCCAGCTGATGAGTCATCTCAGGCACAGCTTACACCCTCCGAGGTCAACCCCAGGGCACGTGTGTTCACACCCACCTTCTAGGAGCCCTGGCCTTCCTCCCTCACCATGCCTGTCCAGGCCCCATCCTCCTCTCAGAAAGGAGGGTGGGCAGAGGCGCTCCCAGAGCGCTCCATTCATATTCCCACCCCACCCCCTCCTTCCCATTCACTGCCACCACAGCTCCCTGGGGAATTCAGGGCTCTAGCCTGAGCTGCATTCTAAGGCACTGACATCAATGGGCCAAGGCTCCAAGACGGCCTGCCTCACTACTATTTGTCAGATCTCCCGACTTGTTCAGCGTCCCTCCCACTCACTAGTTTACAAACATTTGGCAAGGCGCCAGGTGCACAATGAAAATTTAAACTTAAGGGTTGCTGCAAACTACCTCCCAAGGGAGTCGCCACTGCCTGCTCTTCAGTCTGCCAACCCGTTACACTCTGTGGTAGGACAGGACAGAGCACACGTTCCTGGTGGTGGCCACTGCGGAATGAGGAGCCTGGGTCCTGGAATGCTACCCCTGCAGGGTGAGCCTTGGTGAGGCTGCTCACGCCATCCTTACCAGGCGAGGGAGGCTGGATCTTGGGCTGGGACTTCTTGGAATCAGCAGCTGCAAAGATGTCTGGGGGAGGGTCTTCTCCCCGTTCGATCTTGCACTCAAAGGCATAGAGACACTGGATGTACTGCTTTTTCAAGGAGCTGGCAGCACTGCTTGAGGTGCCGACATTGAGGTTGGTCGCAAGTTCCCGCCACTTCTTGTTCTTGTTGACCTGTACAACCAACCAGAAGAGTCGGGGTGCATCTTCCATCTGCCCTTCCTGCCCACATACCCCGAACCCCGTCAGGCGACCGACCAGGTACTCATCTTGTGAAATCACAGTTCTCAGTTAACCACAGAAGTTAACACTGCTTGGTGGATAGTACACAGCCAACATTAATCCCTCTACCCTCAGCAGGTTTTATCCACAGATCACTGCAACTGTCAGACAGTGCTTATTCAAAATAAGGTGAACTTTACATCACTATTAGAGAGATCAGAATTCAGAAGGTATGAGCTTTGCATTACACAAGTGTACTGCTGAAAAATGATGTGCAAAGCACCATCAGATCCAAATCATATTTTACATTCACTGATATAAACTAACATTTTATAAAATGGAGATGTGTGGCAATATCAACAACCACCCTGCCTGACTTTGTCAAACTGGGGGTTTTCATATGATTTTCTTTTTTTCTCTCAGTGTAGGGCTTCTTGCAAATTTGACATTCTTGTGTCCCTGCTCCCGCATCTCAGTGACGTATGACTACAAGCCCCTTGCCCTCAGCAGTCACTGTACTGACTGTCCAGGAGATGCTTCAGGCCCCATGACTTCTTTTTTACCTTCCCAGAGACCAGTCTAGAGCTCTGCTTCCTTTCCTCAGCTTCAGAACACACTGTCTCCCATCCCTACAATTAGTCTGTCTGCTTTAGCCAGGCAGGATTCCTTCTTCATGTAATTGTTTTTTGGCTGCACTGCACAACATGCAGGATCTTAGTTCCCCAACCAGGGCACGATCCCATGTCCCCTGCAGTGGCAGCGTCTAACCACTGGACCACCAGGGAATTCCCCTTGAGGTATTCTTATGTTTATCCATCCACCATGTAATAAGCCTGTCTCTCAAGGGCTACAAACACCGACTTTCCAGTCCCAATCCACAGGGAGTTCAAAATGTTTTGACACCTGCTGATCTGGTACCTGTGACACCAGAGACAAGAGTGATAAGAAAGCAAAGAAAGGAACAGTCTAGATGGAGGGGAGATGACCAGGAACACTTCCTAGAGCAGGCAATGTCTGAGCTGAGACTTGGAAGGCTGGAGGTGGCATTGGTAGGGTATATTCCAGACCCTTTCCCATCTTCATGCTATCAGGGCCAGTCAACTGGAACAGCTCCTCCCTTGACCCAGAACCTATCAATCCTTCAGAAGAGCTCAGGACTCATCTTTTGCCTTCTTGGAGCCTTCACAAACTAACTCGTAACAGCACTCTATCTTCTCTGAACTGTCTTTAGAGTTCAATCACATCACAGCATCTAAAAGGCTGGCAACCTTTTGGAAACTGGAAGACAGACCCCTGGGCTTTGGGATTCCCTCGATACCTCACTTTAGGTCCGGTGAATCCAGAAGCCCATGCAATCAAAAAGTATGCCAAACCTAACCTAATGCCCCTTTTCTCTACAGGCAGGAGTGCCCTGACTATGAGAGCTCAACACCAGGGAGAATGGCAGTTCTGAACCCAGGTCACCTCAGAGGCCTGCTGGGGCTCTGCTTCCCACGCTGGCTATGTGGCAGTGTGCACGTGTCTTGTTTTATTTTGTTTTCCTTTTGTGAGGGAGGGGAATAAAGCCTAAGGGAGAAGGAATTCATAACTGACTGTTGGTTGGCTTCATTCCAATCATTTTCTCTTCTGCTGGTGACAGCTGTTTTCCTCTTCTGATTTAGAAGATTTGGAGTCCACCCCTTCCCACTATGCATCCCCGAGCTCAGCTGCACATTCAGATCCAATAGCAAGCTCCTGGTATGATGACTACAGAACATACATAGAAAGAAAGTTTGCAAGGCACGATGGGCTATCTGCCAGTGTTGCCTCACCTGTTTGACTCCTGGGCTGAGTATAAAATAAAGATTTAAGCTATCAGGGCAGGCGCAAAGCTCAGGGTGGTGTTCAGTTCGGGTTTCCAGTGGAGATTAATCCATTCATTTAAGTCTCCCATACAGAGTAACTAAACACAATTTCCCACCTATTTCTTCCTTCATAAACTATTTATACTTAATAGCTCCTGAAGTCCCATCTCCACTGGGAAGATTTCTAGAATGAAAGGATCAGCAACTATTCTGGCTTCCCTTGTACCATCCTGTACACCAATTTACGTGGCAGAAATTTTGCTCCAAGTTTTGTTTGATTATCCCTAGCTTTCAACAGTCTAGCAGGATACGCACTGTCCCTACGTTAGAAATAAGAAAAATGAAGGTTCGGAGTGGTTATACACCTTGATTAAGGTCACTTAGGTTGTAAGTGGCTAAGAAAGAATTCAAAACCAGACCCCTCTCTGAATCTTGCCCTTGTCTCATACTCCAAACTGCCTGCCATGGAATGAGAATGCTCATAGACTTGCCCTGTTTTGCAACTCAGGGGGACTCTGGGCACATGTAAGTTAAGGCTAATACTTCACGCTACCCATGGAGATCTCAGCCTCCTCCCGTGGCCTTGTCTTCTGGAAGGCCTGAGCTCCCTGGCCTGTCAGTATGTGGCTCAGAGAGCAGGGGAGGGTGATTGCCTGTGGGAGGCATGGCACCAGTGAGGCCACTGAGTACCTACAGAAAGGCTTGTTGAAACCACAGGGGAAGCCAAGTGCCAGGCACTCACCTGAGTCAATCCACCAATTTCCTTCACAGACACATAGAGGCGGTACAGGTCCAGAGGCTTCCTACCCACAGCAGGCAGATTTGTCATGCCCATGGCCTTCTCCTCCGTGAAGGCCAGATAACGGTCCACCCACATCTTCCTCTCAGGCTCACCACCCAGCTCATACAACTTGGTGATCTTCTCATTGGTTGTAGTAGAAGAACTGGATTTCTGGAAGGGGCAGGTCAAGATTCATAGGAACTGGTCAGATTCAAAGCCTATGCTAGGGGTCTCAGAAGCCCCTTGATTAGGGCAGTAGTAAAGCTTCTTATTCTGGGGCGGTCACTAACATCTGCTCTGCCTTCACAAAAACCAAAAGGGAGCTAGACCTTCCTATAAAGAAACAAAAAGCTAACCCTGCCTATACATTAGGTATTGAGTGCTGTGCCAGAGGCCTTTACACATTAGGTATTACAAATTATCCTTCTCTTAAAAGGTAAGGCTGCAGACACCAAGGAGGCCATGCCTAAGATCTCCTCGTGTTTCAGTAGCAGGACTGCAAGTCAAACCCTTGTCCACCTGACATCAGTGTCACTAATACACCCACACTGCTACCTAGGAGCCTGGACACACTTTTACAGACATTTCAGAGAACTCAAGAAACTCAAAATATGACCTTGAGACAATAGACTAAAATGAAAAGGAACTTTTCCTCCTCTCAAGAAAGGAAGGGTTCTGCTTGAATGGCTTTGGATGACTATCCAAGACATGAGGATGACTAAAAGGGTCTGGAAGCCAGAGGTGAACGTCCACAAGAGGTGGCAGCTATGATTGTTATTTCCCCTACTTTATAAGGTAGGGAAAATGAGGTATGACAAAGGGCAGAAATATTTTAAATGACTTAGATACTGAGCAGGTCCCCAGAATGCCACACAGCCCAACAGAGAGCACACCCAGGACCAACCTGAGAGAGGTCAAGAAACCACCCCACCCCCACCCCCGCCTCTTCTCCCCCTTTATAGAACATAGGGCACCAACCATTCCTACTGTTCTGAGTAAGGTCCAGGAAGACAACAACCAGTCACCCATGACATATGTCATCTACCAGTGCATAAGAACAGGGGTCACAGCTTCAGAGAGTACAGTGTAGAGAATTCTACTCTGCTGGGCTGGCATTTCCTCCATATCAGACAGCCATGAGAACACTATGTTATTTACATTAGGACCCCTTGGGCTAACTCAAACCTAATTCAATGAATGATTATCCTGGGACCCTTCACGGTTAAGAAGAGGTAACAGCACCCTTTGCCAAGATTACCTAGTCGGTGTCATATAAAAGGCTGGAATCTAACCACCCTCTCTTCTTTTTCCTTCCTATCACTGAAAGGATGGGACAGAAAGTTAAGGAGTCAAGATATAAGCCATTACCTTGGATTTCGATTCTGTCTTGGGTGTCCCATCTGCCTTGTTGTTCATTTTGGAGGCTGGAGTTAACTTGACATCCCCAAGACCCATCATCTCTGGGCTGGCTGCCATCCCTACAAGAGAAGAGAAAAGTCGGATGGGTTTGTGACACGAAGACCATTTCTTCCAGAAAACCCTGGGGTGAGCAATGCTTATGACTTACCTGCTGAATTGTTGGCCATGGTTCCACCCATGGGATATGGGGGTCCCTGAGGGTTGATCATGCCAGCCATACTATTAATCCCCTGTCCATAGGGAGGTCCAGTTCCCATTATGCCCCCTTGATTCATATTGGGGTAGCCCGGTGGCCTAAGGAAGAAGATGCAGAGTGTGAGAGACAAGAGTTAGAGAAACTAAGCTTTCAAATTAGGACTTGAGGTAAACAGGGCTGTGTGAGCCAAGATCATCTAGGGAGGCTTACAAGGGAAAGTCTTATGTGTCCCACAAACTACAACCATGCACATGGATATTCTTATTTTCTACCACCCACAGAAAGTTCTAAGAGGGTTTAAGCTCCCAAAACGAAATCATCGCTCAATTTTAAAGGATACACTCCTTGAAGAATGGAGTCTTACTGTGTCTCTTAAATACTGCCTCCCTTTAATGCATCTCCAAAGTCAAGCTGTGTTTCCATTTAAGGGCCCTCACTATGGCAAAAGGCCTAGATTAAATGCTCAGTTTTATTACTCTGTCATGTCACCCCAACCAAACTCACAGCATAGCACCTGGAGGGGCAGTGTATTTTCAACTACACCTCAAAAAAAAAAAAAAAAAAAGAAAAAAGAAAAATAAAACACCTTAATTTTATTTATTTTTGGCCACACTGCACAGCTTGTAGGATTGCAATTCCCTGACCAGGTATTAAACTTGGGCCATGGCAGTGAGAGTCGGAATCCCAACCACTAGGCCACCAGGGAACACCCCTTTGTATTCTTCCTTGATGGGCCTACTGCAAACTCTGTGTTTCTATCATCCTAAAGTACTACCAAATCCCCCTCTCTTTATTCAATTATCCTATTCTACCTTTGTTCACCAACATCCCAGTTAAGAGTCACTTTAAGAACTGTCAGCATCAGCAATGGGGTACACAGACAGAGCCTTCAGAAACAGTAGAATCATGGTCACTGAAGCCAGTGGCCAAGGAAGAGATGAATGTTGAAGTCATAAACCAAATCACGAGCCTTCTGCATTTTTGCATCAGAGTCAAATACAAAGGACCACACAGAAGAGTAAGAGAAATGGCAAACCGCAACCTTACCATCCTCCCATTTCCCACACCACAGACCTAAATCATGTGCACCATTAAAAATATTTTTGGAAACCAAGAAGCTAGATTGGCAGAAGAAATAAACTCCGAAGACCTATTTTACTAATCAAAGTAAAGTATACTTTATAAATTTCTTTACATATGATATCTGATACCAATCTAAGATGCTTACAAGTCAGCACTTCTGCTGTTTTTTTCAATGTAAAGAAACCCGGTTTTCTAAAGCGCTCTCAATAAAATGCCTATTTACCAAGATAACATGGTTTAGGTCCAGAAGTATCTCAATGATCTAAACGACTCTGCAATTAGATTAAATGCTGGCCTCACAATTAGATGAAATGCTTTCCTTGCACTGCTACCCTCCCTCTTCACTTCCCAGGGCTTACCTGTTTTGGATAGAGTTGGCAGCAACATGCATGGCGACAGCAGTTTCTTGAGTTTTCCGGTTCATGCCCCCGGGAGGGGGACACATCCCTGACCCAACCTGAGGTGGCATATTGGCCATGTTAGGGCCATAAGGCCGGTTGCCCATGGAGGCGTGACTCATCCTCCCGGGAGGGAGTGTGCCATAAGGTGGGATGCCAGGCTGCCCATGCATCTGACCTCCAGCACCCATAGGGTTCATGCTTCCAGCCATGCCTGCACTGGGGTAGTTAGCATTGGGCAAGGCATTATAGTTTGGCTGCCTGGGGTAGCCTCCTAGGAGGGGAAGGAGAGAAGATACAGAGACCTGGTTAGTGACTCACTGGCAACTCACTTAATAACACTCAACTCTAAAATTCTAAAGACATAAACAACGGGAATCATTCAATATTTGGTCTGGAAAGAGACCAATTTCATGGTCTCTTTAAAAAAACAACAACAACAAAACCTCATAGTCCATTTAAAAAAAAAAGTAAGGAGGGTGTGGCAGGAGTGTATAAAGCCAGGCCTCAGTTGCCCCTCATCTTAAAGACAGCACAGTACAGGGCAAGGCTGGCTATGCTGCTAGCCAGGTCTTTCAACTCCCGGAATTCTTCCCTTTCTACACACTCATCTTCCATGCTCTGTCTAAGAAATTCAGCTTGAGATCCATCTAGGGCTGATTTTGAGCAAAGATCTATTCTATTGGGATTAATTTACTAAAAAATAAAAATAACCAATAATTACCACTTACTAGGTGTCTGTGCTCTGTCTTGGGCTAAATTACCTTATCCCATTTTACAGATGAAACAGGCTCAGAGAGATTCAAGGACTTTCCCATGATGGCAGTCCTGCTCTACTTTAAGGCCTGGCCTGGGTGGATTTAAGGCAAACGTAGTTCTACTCCTATAACCCAGACAGCAGCATATCAAACAAGGAACTCTTTTCTAGTCTCACCCCCATGTATTCCTACCTGGGTAGTATACTCACCCTGTGGGCCGTACTGACTCCCCTGGGGACCATAGCTCCCCATGGAGTTCTGCTGGTAGGAGCCCATGCCTGTGTGCATCTGTCCTCCGGAAGGCTGACGTGGAGATAAGGCTGACCCGGGCTGGGGGGAACTGTACTGGGGCATCTGGGGGTTCCTCTGCATGTAACCTGTTTGTGGGTAGTGTCCACATAGTTATTACCTCAGCACCATGGGAACGAATGCTCTCCCTTATCCTACGACTTCACAATCTACATTTTCTTTAGCAAATACTTACAAGAAATCTCTTATTTGCTGTATAATTATGTGCTCTTTTAGGCGCCCTCAAAAGTGACATAGTCATTAACCCAGGGCATGCCAACTGTCTCTACTAAATGGAGGTTTGAAAAAAAAAAAAAAAAGCAATGACCCCTGCCCCAAATCCCTGAAAAACGCTGTAGGATTTTCAGGGTAAAGATTTGATGCTGAGTATTTAGTATTTGCTGACCAAATCAGGCACAGTGGAGGGGTAATCCATCAAAACACATGACCAACAAAAAATAGCTGTGGGGGAACGTAATTCTGGAGCCACCAAGATGGCCAAGCCCATCCTAACTTCACAACCTGCTGCTGAGATTGTCTTAAGCTTCACGGTCATAAAGTTCTCCAAAAGCTGTTCCAGAGATAATCGATCAAACGTCCACCTCTGCCCTCCACCCCTCTCCCCTGAAGCCCAGGCTCTCACCTCGATCTTGGGCAATGCTTGATTGGTTCATAGAAGGATGCATGATGCTGTCCGACTGGCCACTGGGTGGCCGAGGTGGCATCTGGTTGCCTGCTCCAGAGAGAGAAAGAAGTAAGCCAGTCATGGCTAAACCTGGAAATCCTCATCAGCAGGTTAAGTTCGAAGTGCAAATGGCTTCTGGGAAGGCCAAGAACCTCCCAGGATCACATACACCGGAGGATCTGGCAAAGGGGCTCCCGTCTCCTTCCTTCAAAGGCTGAAGGGACCCTCTCAGCCAGTGGAAGGCTGGGACTCCCTGATATCATGCGCCTGACACAGCAGTCCTCTTTCCCTCTCCCCAAAGGTCAGCACTCGGAGGTACCTGGCACTGCAGCAGGCGAGAGTGGTCCTGAGCGAGACTGAGCAACACTGGCAGGAGAGCCCACTGGGGACGGGGAGGGGCCTCGGATACCAGGCAGGTGAGGGGAGGTGTGGGGAGAGAAAGGAGACTGAGCTGGATTACTCTGCTCCCCTTGGCTGCTGGAAATCCCTGACGTGCTCACTCCAGGGCTCAGAGCTCCTTCTGTCCCCATGGGGAGATCATCTATTGAACCAGACAGATCCTGGAACATATGCACAAGGATATGGATTAGCAATTTTGAGGCAGAAAGATTCTTTGTTCAACAATGCTACTACATGATTAACATTTTCCTTAAACAGCCCAAAGTAAATACACGGCACACATTTATGTACTCATGGCACTAGAGCTTACATACAGCAAACTCTCTATTAAAGGCTAGTTACAAAATAGTTCAGACTCTGCAGCCCATACAGTCCGTGTCACAACTGTTCAACTCAGGCCATCAGACTGTAAAAGTAGTCACAGACAATTCGTAAACAAATGGATGTGATTGTGCCCTAACAAAATATTATTTATAAAAACAAGTAGCTAGCCCACAAGCAATTGTTTGCTGACCCCTGGTTATCTACCAGAAGCAGATTGAGTACTTTCATCTTCCTTCCCAGCCCCAACTTCTATAGTCATAAGAGAGCAGCTCTGTGAGTGAGCCTTCAGTTCTCTTCCAATGGGGAAACTTACAACACTGCCAGCATGGCACCAGGAGCTATAAGAAAATGTTAACAAGTTTGGGCAACATTCACAGATCCCCTCTGCATCAGATTATTATAACCTACATTTACCAAGAACTCACTCCAAGTTGCCATACTTTAAAACATAAGGGGTAGGAGGTAAGAAAAGGATATATTACACAGACAATTCCTTAACTGCCAAGGCGGCCTGGGACTACATTCCTAACACCTGGCCAATAACAGGGATGAACAAATGTTTGCCAACTGAACAAATTAAGTTTTTTTTTTTTTAGTTTTATGTTTCAATGAGAACTTGGTGTTTATTTGGGGGTTGTGCTTAGGGACTGTGTCTTGAATTAAACTAAAGAGTTCACTTTAAAAAAAAAGTTCACGCTACATCAGTAAACCCCAAGGTTAGCTATTAGGACCTCAATATGAAAAAATACTCAGAAAAAGGAAAAAAAAAAAGAGGGACTTCCCCAGCAGTTCAATGGTTAAGATTCCACACTTCCATTGAAGGGAGCTTGGGTTTGATCCCTGGTCACGGAACCAAGATCCTGCCTGCCATGTGGCCCAGCCAAAAAAGAAAAAAAAAAAGGAAGATATTCACCCCAGGAAATGCATCCCAGCTCCAATTTCACTCTCTGGCAACACCACAGGCTCAACATCATACATTAACTTCAAGGTGGGAACTAACTATACCTTGAAGAAAGGATGAAAGCTTTGGGAACAGGCTCAGGTCTGGGAAAATCCTAAGACTCAAATGGTTAAGAAAAGAGTTCTCTTAAAGAGACACATCTGAAGAGGAAAAAAATCCAAAATGGCCTGATTTGAGTCTATTCCTATTCCCACAAGAAGCTCACCTTGGAAAGACGAGTTCGAGCGGATTCTGACCCTAGAGTCAGACAATAACACCGGAGATCAAAGAGTACCTCTTAAGCTCTCCCCAAGTGTCCAGGTTGGTTGGACCTTTTGCAAACCAATTGGTTACTTCACTAGGTTGGGAGTATTTCTGCTGAGTTTTGTGGGAACAAAGCTTGCCTTGAAGGCAAGGCAGGCAGGTAGATGTACACCTGTGTCTGTGTTCAGCTCTCAGAGCTAGCTGAGATTTCAGAAAATGCTAGCTTTCCTATAAGCAGACCCAGTATACCATAGCATGCTTTAAAAATGCAATCAGAATTAGTCCCAGCATGGAAGAGAACTCAAGAAGCCCTACTCCAGGTAACACCAAAGGGCCTCTTTCTTCTCAAAGGACTAAAGCACCTGGAGTTCTAAAGAGCCTTGGGTTCATCCCAACAGAGGATTCCTTCCACGTCAAGGGCTGAGCTGTCCCAGGACACCTGGCTTCTGAACCAAGAAGGGTAAACCCAAAGTGGCAGCAAGATGACAAGAGGAGCCAACTGTGTCAGCCAGAAAAGGCCTCGAAAGCCACTTGTTAAGCCCTGGTCTATAACAGAAACCACAGCCCAATGCTCTGTTTTAGGGACCTTGAGCTTCCCTCGCATTCCTTCCTACTGTCTCCATTCCTTACCAAACCACCAGCTTCTAGTAATAAGAGCTACTTGCTTAGAGGAAAAAGAAATCAGCGTATTTTGGAACAGAACAAGAATCAATGGTCCAGCCATAAGATAAGAACTCTTCAAATGGCCTTGAAAAATTGTTTTAAACATGTCTTTAATTAAACAAGTAAAACGTGAACATTTTCATGGTAAAAATAGCTCAGATACTACAAGTAAACTCAAGACCCCCTCTGCTCTCTTCTGGCCGCTTTCAATAGAGGCACCCAATTCCATTTGGTGGAATCCTTGGAGACCTTCCGAGGAACTGAGGAGGGGAAAAAAAATAAAGGATGTTCAACATCACTAATTATCAGGGAAATGCAATTCAAAACCATAATGAGCCTGACGTCTATTAGGATGGCTATTGACAAAAAGTAGAAAGAAACCCATACTGGCAAGGATGTGGAAAAAGGGAACCCTTATGCACTGCTGGTGGGAATATAAACTGGTACAGCCACTATAGAAAACAGTACGGAGGTTCCTCAAAAAATGAATAAAAAAAAAACAAAAAACTACCAAGTGATCCAGCTATTTCACTCTGGATATTTATCCTAAGTAAACCAAAGCAACAACTTGAAAAGATACATATACCACCATGTTCCCTGCAACATTATTTCCAATAGCCAAAGCATGAAAGCAACCTAACCCCATTGACAGATGAATGAATAAGAAAATGTGGTGTGTACACACACACAGGAATATTCAGTCATAAAGAAGAATGAAATCTTGCCATCTGTGACAACATGGATGGACCTTGGGGGCATTATGCTAAGTGAAAAAAGTCAGAGAAAGCTAAGTACCATATGATATTACTTCCATGTGGAATCTAAAACAAAACATAGCCAGCTCACATTGGTTGGCTGCCAGAGGGGGAAGGAGAAATGAGAAGGGAGTCAACAGTACAAACTTCCAGTTATAAAATAAACAAGCCAAGGGGGTGTGATGTACAGCATGGTGACTAGAGTTAATAAAACTGTGTATGTGACGTCTTTCAAAAGTTCTCATCACAAGAAAAAAAATTCTGCAACTATATGTTAGTCACTCAGTTGTGTCTGAGTCTTTGTGATTCCATGGACTACAGCTCTTCAGTCCACAAAATTTTCCAGGCAAGAATACTGGAATGAGTAGCCATTCCCTTCTCCAGAGGATCTTCCCAACCCATGGATTGAACCTGGGTCTCCCGCACTGCAGGCAGATTCTTTACTGTCTGAGCCACCAGGAAGCTCCTGTAAACTTTACAGATGATGTTAACTAGACTTGTTGCAGTACTCATTTTGCAATATATGCATATACTGAATCATTATGTTATACATCTGAAACTAATATTATGTTGTAAGTCAATTGTATCTCAATAAACAAAAATAAAAGGAAAAAAACCCTACCAGCTCACCAACCACTGCTACAAGGTCAGAGTAAATCCTGCAAATGCTCCTTCAGTTACAGAGTGTGTTATAAATCAGGCTCTCCAGAGACACACAGGCGAATGTCCTAGTCCAGCTGAGGGATCCCAGGGGCCTAGAGGCCCGTGGTGGCAATGTGGCGGCTTCCTTCACAGAGGCACTCTGAGGAGAGCTGTCAGTTTTGGTAAAGTGCCCTGAGGCTCCTCTGGAGAAAAAGTACTAAATAAACCACTTGTCAACAGCAGCCCACGTGGACTGGAATGCCTGGGCAGAGAATAACAGTAGGGAAAGAATCAGCATTAATCTTCTTATCTCTCTCATTTGATTGGTATGAGGCCAGTCCCTCAAAACTACTCTTTTCATCAGAGAGCAACTGGTCAGGGGAGGGGTTGATTAAAAAAAGAAATTTTTTAAGAATCAGAATGCTGAATTTCCCTGGTGGCATAGGGATAAGAATCTGCCTGCCGACACAGGAGACATGGGTTCCCTCCCTAGTCTGGGGAGATTCCACGTGCTGGGGAGCAACTGAGTCCGCACGCCACAGCTACTCAGCCCGTGCTCTGCAGCAGGAGACGTCACTGCAATAAGCCCGGACCCCGCAGCTAGAGAAAGCCCACACACAGTAACAAAGGCCCAGCGCAACCAGAACAAATAAATTAAGAGGAAAAAAAGAACTAGAATGTTAGCACAGGAAAAAACAGCATTTATATTAATACTAACGATCATTTGAGCATCTATGATGCTTCAAACATTTTATGGAAGTGGAAGTGTTAGTCGCTCAGTCATGTCTGACTCTGTGAGGCCACTGACTGTAGCCCACCAGGCTCCTCTGTCCATGGAATTCTCCAGGCAAGAATATTGTTGTGGGCGGCCATTCCCTTCTCCAGGGGATCTTCCCCATCCAGGGATCAAACTCAGGTCTCCTGCATTGCAGGCAGATTCTTTACCATCTGAGCCATGCTATGGAGTTCCTTATTTTCCACAATTCTCAGATGTAGGTACTACTACCACTAATATGTTAAAAAGGAGTAAGTTGATGCTCCGAGAGACTAGGTTATATGCCCGAGCCACCCACCAAGTAAGTGACAGAAATTAAGATTCTGAACCCAGATCTGCTAAACTCCAAAGTCTGTGTTCTCTCTCTCTCCATTATGCTGTGATACCATAAAGACTGAGGAAAAAGCATCACAACCTTGAATTAGGAGACTAAAGCTCTTGGTAGTTATCAGTTGTGACCTTGAGCAAGCTAGCAACAAGCTAGGCTTCAGTTCTGTCACTTAAAACGACAAGATGACTGGACAGATCTGAGTCTGTGATGCCCCCGGGGCATTTGCAAGAAACTACTGGCACCACATGGTCAGGGCCATATGGAAAGTGCAATACCAGCAGCAGGACCCTGGAATAAGAGACACAACAACACGCGGTGGTATAAGATGTCAGACACACCCATCAGTCCCAGCTAATCATAGGAAGAGTTTTTATTGGGAAATGAGAGGGAGAGGTAAAGGCGGAAGACTCCAAAAGAGGTCTCCCCGCTCCATCTACATGGATACTGCTCTAAACTCCATGTCCTGT